TCCTTTACATCTACATATTCATTTTGATCAGCATTAACAACATGAACACTAACTTCATCACCATCTTCAAACTCGTTGTTCCCTAACATCCAATGGCTTAACCATACTATACCACCTTCTTCATTACATTCTGGGGCAACCCACCTCTGAGGGCCGTATATCTTGTTGGAGTACCTCTTTGTCAAATTCCTTATTACAGTTCGCGGGATTATGACACCCTTTGTGCTTGAAATTGTAGCCACAAAGCACACATTTAACCCTCGAATCCTACAATTCTTACGAGATGATGGCAACGTAAAATGAAATCCCAACAAGCAGCTGCTTCTGTGAGTTATCCAATCTGGAAGCCTATTCCCTTGAAAATATGAGGTGAATACTACATGCCGACACTTCATCTGTCAAATACTAGAAGTTTTATTAGATTGAAATACATATACACATGATATATATATATATATATATATACACACATGATATATATATATATATATATGTGTGATAAAAGGACATTCACCTGTGCTAGAAGTGTTTTTCCTTGAACCTTCAGGAGATCACTCATTGTCGAAAACTTGTCATGGTTCACATGTTGCCTATTAATCCACCCCAACCTACATACCATCTCTTGATCAATTTCTGATATAACTTGCTTTTTTAGTATGCCCTCAATCTCAGTCAAGGCTTTTGTGTCTCGATAATGGACATATGGCCATGATGACATTTGTGGATGAAATGTTACTTTCTCTAACGAGAAACACCCGTGGACATTTAAATATTCTACAGTCCTTGGAGCACACAAGACTGATTTTAGCCTACCACATCCCGAAAGACGGAGACCCCTCAGCCTACTAAGGCTTCTTACACAATCAGGCAAAGAATCAATTTGATTCCCATCTAAATCTAATTCCTTCAACATTGACAGGCTACCAAAACTCACAGGGAAGGATTCGTTACACAAATTATTATTCCCGAGGGACAATCTTACTAATGAGCCTGGGATTGTGAAGGACTTCAAACTTGTTGGAACCACAATGACAGATGATGATGATGATGATGATGATGATGATGATGATGATGATGATGATGATGATGGCACTTGGGATTCTATGTTAACATTGTTAGCTTTTAGCACTTCTAGTGACTCCATATCCTTTATCCCCATTGGAAATTCACCAAGATTTGAACACCCATCTATTGATAGTGTTCTAAGACTTTTTAACCTTTCTATGCTTCTTGGAAGCTTTTTGAGCTTACCACATCCACTCAGATCAAGGAGAACAAGTCTATCACATTTCCCAACTGACTCACACACCTCAACCAAACTCATGCATCCTGCCAATATCAATCTTTCAAGTAGAGGAAACCCGTCAAAGCTACCCACACTAACAAGCTCATAACAGCAACTCAGAATAAGAAACTTCAATGACATCAACAACTGTTAAATTAAAGAAGCATGTTAGTCTTACAAAGAAGAAAAGGTAGAGGAGTCGGATCTATATATATTACCTTGGGATTCTTCCAAAGATGTTGTAGGTTGCTATAAGACATGTCAAGAGCAACAACATTCTCCAATTGCAACTCCGAAGGTAGATAATTTAAAGGGAATCCGTGCATAGACAACCATCTTAAACCTGTAGGAAAATGTTTATAGGACCCATGGAGTTGTACATAGTCAAGTTGAAGTAATCTTAGCTTATCCATCGGACTGAATGCATTTGTTCTAATGTCGAATTTGTTACTGTGGGAGAAACGCAATAGGAAAACCCAAGCAAATAAGCACCAAATCCATGAGAAAATATCACAAACTCGATAAAGGAGTGGAAGTGCTACAATTTTGCTGCGAGGATCATCTTGAAACTTCTCCTTGGTGGAACTACTTGTTCTGTGTGATGTATAATTCTCAACCATTTTCATGTCAAGTATAAGGCCTTGAAGTTTCGCCGTCCCCTAACAATAAATTAAACAAGTAAACATGAGCAAAGTTTTCTGCAAATGTTTAACCCCTGAATAAACACAACACACACACATATCCTCTATTACCTTTTCTTGTTTCAACACATCATATGATTCCTCATGATGCCATAATCGACTACGCTCCCATGGCTCCTTAGGTGATTCTTGACGGACTAAATCTCTACCTAGCTCTTGAAGGAGCTGGTGCATCATCAACTCATTTCGAGGCCCAACTGTGAGAAGACATCTATCAATGAGCCTTGAGAACCCAAAAGATGGGGACAAATCACCCTCTCTTAGTATTGTTTCAGCGAATACTCTATCTTTGCCAATGAAAAAACAAGCAATGTGCTTAAACAATTCCTTGTCATTTTCGTAAGGCAAAGAATCAAAGCTTATTTGCAAAACCTGTTGTATTTTAGGGTTAGTTTCCTTTGGTAACAATTTTATGGTATCCTTCCATGCAGCTACGTCTTGCTTACGCAAAGAACTACCAAAAACTGTAAGAGCCAATGGATGTCCTCCACAATACATCACAACCTTTCTTGCTTGCTCTTTGTAGCTTTCATTGGGATAATCGCCATTAAACGCATGCAAGCCTAAAAGTTGTTGGGATTCCTCTTCGTTTAAGCCTTCAACCAAGTGCTTCATATGATTTGGTGGAAATTCTGTCATAAACAACCGACACTTTTCTGTTAATGATGCATCTTTGGTTGTAATTATGACTTTGCTTCCTCGATGAAGGCCTCTTGTTCCGATTAACACATCCAATTGCCCAAAATGATCAATATCATCGAGAACAAGAAGCGTTTTCTTCCTAAGAAGTATTTTCTCGATCTTAGAGGTGGCCACATTAGCATCATATATGTCCATCCAGGTTATGTCTCCAATGTCTTTAAGGAGTTGTTTTTGTAAATCAAGTAATGTATTTGGTTGCGTACACCTCCTTCCAATATCTTCAAGAAAGCTGCTTCTTTCGAAGTCAAGATAGTGCAATTTAAAGACATAGTTTGCTAAATATGTCTTTCCAATGCCACCCATCCCCCAGATTGTGAGAAATTCGGTAGTATCGTTTTTCAAGGATGAAATAATGGTTCTAACGGAAGACTTCATCCCAATTAGGTATGGAATTTTACTCTGTTTGTTTAGCTCTAATCTGTTGTGGATCTCTTTAACAATTCTTTCAATAAGTACCGTCTCTCGCCTGAAACCGATTTCAATGAGAACAAGGTACCATCCAAGTAGTAAGATAAACAGAACACTTGTTATAAAAATTGAGCATAGGGTTTTAGAAATATTAGTAAGAAAGGGTTTACCGGCCATTTGCTTCCTCCCCTTTCATATCAGCAACTTCTGTAAGTGCTTCCTCCCATTGCTTCATCTTCTGCGCCCATTGACTTGTTTTCTTTTCATTTGGCGCTGCCTCCATCTTCTGTTTATGCCTAGCCATTGCCTCTCCGAAACTGCTTTGTTGCTTCCTAACATCGGTTGGTTTGACGTGATAGAAGATGGGGATGACAATATGTTTGGAGCTCCTACGTTGCTCGAGGATGAGTACCAGTTCATCAAGGCACCATGTGGAAGAAGCGTAATCCTTGGACAACACAATAATAGACGCCCTTGATGCTTTAATTGCACTTACCAATTCTGGTTTTAGATCTTCTCCCGTTCGTATCTCAACATCATCAAAAAAACGTGTCTATAGCAGCATCCAACAGAGCCTTGTGAAGGTGATCAGTGAAGCCATAACGAGTGTCGGCACCTCTAAAACTTAAAAACACGTCGTAATGATAAGTGGACGATGACAATTCTGAAATTTCAGAAAGAACAACCGTCATGAAGGATAAAAACTGAGAATGAAGTGAAGCGCAGACGCTGGTTGAATCGATGATTTAGGGTTTAGGTGATTTCAACTCAACTGTATGTTTTCCTTTTCAGACAGGCATTAGAAAGGGGATGAGCTCGGTAGAGGAGAAACCGTCCTGATGGATTGCTTAAAAAGGAATGGTATCATAAATAAGAAAAAATGATGAAGTTTCGTTTTCAGAGACTTCGGTGGTGGCGTTTGTATTTTATATTTTGTCAAGTCTGAAGTCTGAATTCACTTTTTATTTTTAAGAAGTAGCGTTGAAGTAAATAAATTTCATTATCAACCATCACGAACATGTTATTATTGTTTGTCATGTCACACCCTTAATCTCCCACCACCACCACACCACTAATGTTGCTGCCACCCAACCCCTATCCCACCAGTAACCATCATGCCATTGTTATAGTGACATGGCGGTTGATAGGATGTGAGCAGGGACGATGGGTGGGATAGTTCAAACAAAGACGATTGATTAAAATCTATTGAGGGGTTTCATTCCAATTTCTACCAACCAAACGCGTGGTTAAATTTCATTCCAATTCCTTCAAAGTCAAATTCCTTTGATGGATTCCAATTCCATCAAATTTCATTTTATAAACCAAACACCCCCTTTATCCTACATCATAATTATGTAACTTACCTAAAAACAAATTTACAATAGATGGATTAAAAGCCACTATGATATGAAATATCATTCACATTTGAATACATTTCCTTACAAATATCTTCACTAACGATGTATTTGTTGGATACATTTCCTTACAATATATTCACTAACAATATGTTTGTTGTATACATTTAGAAAAAGATGACGTGAAATGCGTCAAATCTTCCTCCGTGTCACAACTTGGTTCGAACCGAGACCAATCTGTCCTGTCTAGTTTCTCATGCCCAAATCCGTACCAAACTTGAGGATATTAACTTTAAAATAAGATTTTAGTTAAATCTACAACTTTTTTTTGAAGTATATAATAATTATACATGACAAACAGAACAAATAAACTCACACACCCTCCTCACCCATGGTGAGGTTTGAACCTCTAACCTTCCAAGAGACCAAAGACTCACATACCGCTAGGCCAAAGGACAGATTTAATTTATTTTTTTCTTTATTTTAGACCAATGTCCAGTGGCACAAGAGGCAGAGGCAGTTTGCTTTCCAACAATCAGAAATATGAGTGAAACAAATTTAAATGCTGCTTTTGCTTATACCAATTACAACAACTGATAGTAGTACTAGTTCAAGTACATCCTCCTCCACCTCCTCTTGCTATCAAAATTCACTTTACAACTGAACCCCAACCCCCCCAGTCATTCATACCTCTCCTATAAAACCTCAATTTTCAAAAACAAAAACAAAAAAGAAAAGGTTAAGAATCACATGGTGGTTCGGTCCTCAAATCTTACGAAAAAAAAAGGCTTACAACTCTCGAGGGGAGAAGAAACCGGCATCATAATCATATACCACCATCAGCAACAAAGAGACGAAGAAGAAGAGACTGCAGAAACCACCCGGTTCAACTCAACTAACTTAAAAATTGATCATAATCAGTTACATGATGATGAGGCCTTTTACCTTTTTATATCCTCGAAATGCAACGGAACCTATCAAAAAAGATGATTTACACTCAACCCCACCACCACCACCACCACCAGCCATTGTTGTATCTTCCATTTTCCAAACTCTTTGTTGGCCCAAGAAAACAAATCCAAGATTGCTTCATTGGCATTTTCCTCAGTAGTTGTTAGGCCAGTTGATTTGAGCAGGCTGGGGATGTGGATTGGGCTGGGGTGGCGGTTGTTGTTGTTGCTGCTGCTGATACATGCTAGATGTGGGTCCCACCATGTCGACCCCTGTTTGGGACTGTTGGAGAAGTGGATGAACAGCTCCGCTGGTCACTGGTTGTGGAGGGTGGTGATAAATACTAGGAAAAGTTCCATGGCCGGCTTGTGTTGGTGTATATGCAACTTGACCGCCTTGAGGAAGATTATAAAAAGAACCACCAATGTCTCGACCAGCTATCCATACGCCTGGACCTTCACTCTACAAACCCAAAAAAGCAAAATACAAGAGGTCATTTCTGCAAGAAACATAATCCAAAATATCATTTGATTAAATCAAGTAAACATCGAATTCACTAGAAAACTTAATGCTATGTTGGATAATAAACTTGTTTTTGTCCAACATGAGAGACCAAGTATAAACTTTGGTACATCCAAGCCCAAACCCAAGATACGGAGAATTATATAGAAAATAAGTAGGAAAGTCTAGGGTTCTTTAGAAAATTTGTTGTTGATTAATAGGGGTATGAAATATGTGGTTGAGATTGATTCTCTCATTCTATAAATAGGTGGTTCCTTTGAGTTTGTAATCATCAAGTGAAAAACAAAGATTATTGAGTTCATAAAGAGAGTTGCTTGAATAAAGTTTGAAGAAAAAAGTGTTCCTTTGAGTTTCCTCTCCAACAAAGCGGTATCGGAGCTATTGTGATGGTATCGGTTTAGAGAAATCTTATTATGCTCTGTGGTTGCAGCTTAGACTGATCTTCTACATCATACTAATGGGGATTCAAGAAAGTCAATCGAAAGTATGGCCAACAATCTAGCATCATTTCAAGTACCGGCACTCAAAACCGACAACTATGATAATTGAAGTATCAAGATCAAAGCTCTATTGGGTGCACATGATGTGTGGGAAGTAGTAGAGAGAGGTTTTATTGAGCCCAAAAATGAGGCCACTTTAAGCAATGTACAAAAGGATAATTTAAGAGAGATAAGAAAGGACAAGAAAGCTCTCATCCTAATCTACAAAACCTTAGATGATGATGGCTTCGAGAAGGTTTCAAGTGCAACATCTGCCAAGGTAGCATTGACAACCTAAAATGGTGGTGTGTGGTAGTGTCATGTTATTATCGTCCAAAAGAGAGAGAGAGAGAGAGAGACCAAACTTCTTTTAAAAAAGTTGAAAACATGAAGTAGAAGACTTGGAGTGACCTACAAACTTCTTTTAGGGTAAGGAGTAGACATCTAATTTGGCATATAATTTTATGAAGTCACATATACCAAAGGGTACACAGTGTCAATAGTATTTCCTAGCTGTTGTTACAATATTTAAGTCCTAAAAAAGCTAATAATAAACATAGGATTTTAGATATTTCTCATCCTAACTGCTCTGTTGGTAGATTTTCTGTGAATATGGGTACCATTGAGCCCAACATAGCTCTTCCATAAACCATATACCCATTGTAAAATTTGTGTAATCATGCATTCAATACCTCCCTTGTTCGTTTATAGATTATTATTCAACTTCACCTAAATTAATTTACTGCTTTGCATTCAACTTCTGCACCATGACTTATCTGGCTTCAATTTTCAACCTTCCTTTTTGAATTATATATATATATATATATATATATATATGTAATCAGATTCAGGGGAAAATCACAAAATAATGGAAAACTAAGGAACACCCTAATAACCTTATTTGTCTGGTATGCACATGTGCATAAAAATAATTGAAAATGTTCCCTGCTTGCTTTTATGCACGTGTGCATACCGGACAAATGAAATGATTATTAAGTCGTTCCTCAGCTTTCCATTTCCTTGTGGTTTTCCCCTGAACCCAATATATATACACACACACACTATAGAGCATCATTGAACTTCAAAGCTCATGTTTTGCACACCGGTGAAGGGGCTGACTTGCATCTAGATTCTCCCGCATTCTATTGCATGCTTATAGTATCAACAAACAGATAAACTTGCAAACCAAGTGTTATCCCAAACTACTCTAGAAAAGATGCAAATGAAACTCCGTTAGTTTCCTTTTTTATTCTTTCCACAAATGCGAACTTTGAACAAACCATATTGTGTTTTTACCAAACCGGGGATCTTCAGGGAGCTTTTAACAAACCATATTGTCATATATCCCATGCCCCCAGACCCCACTGTGATGCAACGAGAACCAACAGAAGAACTCAAAGCCAACATAGCATAACAAAGATCAAGTAGAGTGCACGTAACTAACCTGCTGTCCTGTAACGTAAACATTACTTTCCTTGAACTGGGACCCACCAATGTCTTCATTAGAAGTCGAATTGCCAGCTGTAGCAGCTGGATTCGGATTATAACCTGCTGGGGACGTGCCATATGGTCCATAAGTTCCAGGGACTCCAATGTGACCCGAGTTCCCAGTATTACTTCCAGGCTTATATTGCGGAAGTGGATATTTGGGAGCTGCCACTGGTGGAGCTGGATACATATTTCCGGCTTGAGGTTGTTGAGGGAATGCACCATTGCTCAAAAACTGATGAATGGATGGAGGAGGGATATAAAATGGGGAGAAATATGGGCCATATGGGATATAATTTGGAGGATAATGGGGCAAATGTAACCCAGTTGGCTGCCTGAACACAGGCAGTGGTTGCTGGGTCACGGCTAGGGAGCTCTGCATAACCCCAGCTGCTTGTGTGGCTAATGGTGTCGGACCAGCTGCAGACAACGTTATAGAGTTCCCAACCTGCGGGGTTCACATTTATGAACATCACAAGCATTACAGAATAAACAAAAATGTATAGTATATGAACCCACTAGTCATTTCAAGTATTTGTTATGAATGTAGAACAGAGAAATAAGAAGCACGAAGAAAGCAAGACTCGAAAGAGATAAAAAAAACCAATAATACACTCAAATCTGATTACAATACATATCGAGTGACTTCAAGGGACTTTCGACATGGATTGATTAGACAATTGGATTTCATCATTTATGTGAGTGAGGTAGGCGGGTGAAAGAATTGTGAAAGGCTTTAAGGTTTTAATTTTACATGCGTAGTTTAGTAATTTATCAATCCTTATCTCGAGATTTTTGTTCCATCTACTTTGGTGGGACAAAAAAAATGTATTTTTATCCCACTCGGTCTGTGTCTTGTCCCGGTCTATTGTCACATCGAACGTGGGAAAATAAGTTTTTGTTCTGTTCTATCCTGCAAAACAAATGCACCCTAAGAGCTCACAAGATCCAACACTAAATTTAATTTTCATGCCCATGAGATGCCCCCCAAGATTTCCCATTTATTGACAGTAAAAATCTATCATTTTTTAAACCATATGCCAAGAACAAGAATAATGAAGGACATAGAACACCTTGAGACAGAAATCAAGATGCATGAGCTCCCTAATGTGTATGCGTGAACTTACTGAAACACCATAGCAACATTCTCATTGCAAAAGAAAAACAGTGTCTGAGCCTAATCATGCAAATAAAAATAATTCAAGTATTCTATAACAGTCACGTAAGCCTAAAATATTGAAACCTCTTGAGAAGACTGAGAAGCCTGTGGAGATAACACTGCAACATTTCCATTGTACTTGGCCGCCACCCCAGGTGAGTGGAAGGGTGATATGCGCCCATCACTATCAGCACCAGAACGATAGAAGTGAGGATAATAGCCTGCTGGGTCAAACGGTTGTTGAACCTGTATGTAACAAGAATACACAAAGTTATTTTATAAACTTACTGGCTGGTAAAGTGAAAAAAAAAAAGACGTGGAAAGTTACAAGGACCTCTTTGTATGTAATTACCATGAATAAATTGAAGAAAACCAAGTATTTAAAATGTACTGTACCCAGATTATACTACCAGAATAACAGTTATCAAATACTTACAACAAAGCTTGGGACACGAGAAGCATCGCGCACTTGAGACTCGTTGTTTTCAAAAGGTGCTAGATGGCCCCCTATTATTGGTGGCATGAAGCCAAAACTTAAGTTAGGAGAAGCATGAACCACTGGATATTGATGGCCTGTAGTTGGGAGTGAAGTCTCTGGATTGGATTCAATGTGCTCAGGTGCCACACTAGATGAGACTTCACTTTCAGCTGATAAATTTTCAGGTACATTAGATGAGGATGGTGGGCAATCAGGATAATCCCCATCATCGGGAGTTACCAACACATCTTGATTCCTGAAGCCAGTAAAATAATTAATCAGAAAATGTGAGAAGGCAATACATTCAAGCAAAACAAGCGCAATATGAGTAAAAAATTTGCAAAAATATCCACTTGGAAATGCTAGGATTAAGAGATATTTCTTGTTGTTGTCTAAGGTAAACGACAACTTAACCTACTCTAAAAGATTCAAGTGAAGCATTAATTTGCAGGTTCTCTAGACTAGAAATTTCACCGATAACAAGGATCACATGGGCTTGCCACAGAAAATTGCACTTGAAATTTTGAGAAAATTTCCTTGACTGGGGTAAAGATGAATTTATAAGAATCAATCGACATTGTAAATTTCAAAGGGTTAAAAAGGGTATCTGCAGATTGTTTAAAAAATTATATTGGCACCGAGCCTTCCTTTCATATGGTCATAAGATGCTAAATTTGTGTGTCATATGTAATCATTCAATTGACCAGAATAAGCATAGAAGTTTTTGAAAAACCTGGAAGACTGTTCTTCAATATGGTCAGGGATCACCTCAGGAGCCTCAGAAAGAGATGGACTCTTGTCGTTCACAGGACCACTCAAGGAGCTTGAATTAAAACCAAAACTAGCATCAAAACTTCCAAAGCAGAACCCAAGTTTCTCAGCTTCTGGAACATGAAGATGATTGGGTATAATAACATGTTGACCATCTGAAATGCGTGATACCTCTAGCTTCCTCTCCTTTTCAGGAGTAACATCCTTTGAATCAGGAATATTGGATGCTGGCTTTAAAGAAGAGCGACCTTCAACTGGAATGGCTGGCACCTCCGTGGAGTCACACGTCCCTGGTACTTGAGCAGGAATGGGATTTGTTGGTTTTGGTTTCCACTCCTTACCAGGACCGACTGTAGGAAAGCACAAGGGCCATTATACTTCACAGTCCCATAACCAAAATCATAAATCATTGACCAAATTTCTCTTTTGAGTTTTTTTTTGTGGGGTTACTTCAAGATTTCGAAAAAGAACAAAAAGAGTTGATTGATAACAAGTTACTGATATGTAACTTATCAAAATCAAAACCATCATAGAACGTAATGTTGAATATTGAAGTAGGCTTGGCTTCTATGAAATGAAAAAAATGCACCAGAACCCAGAAAACAAAATCATATGAAAATAATTGAAAGTAAATAACCTAACCCACCAACAAGTGTTGCAAATGCATAGAGTATGCAACGAATTCAGGTTGACAGCACGACAAATAAAAAAGCATATCTAAGAAAAAAAGCAATTTTATGAAGAGATTGCACAATCATAGCACATAGAAAAACCATAAAATAACAGACAGGTAGCTGTTGAAGGTTATGCAGTGTGGAAGTATTGTGGGTGAGACAAAAATCAAGCCATAGCTGGAAATATCGATAAGCTCCTGAAATCCTCAAGAAATTTCCAATAACAAATTTCCAGTAACCCCGTTAAAAGGTACTATAAACTAAATGAAGTAAAGAGATAGGATATAAATATTTATGCAATGGTAGGCTGTTGTGTAATTTAAACCTTGAACTGTTTGTTCCATTTAGTTCCCCTCAAGTGACCATTTCCATCATAGACAGATGATCAGACTATTTTATACAAATTTGAATAACATGACCTTAATACCTTTTTGAGGCCCAATCGCTTGTTGTTGCCTGTTATTGTGATTTGAAGGTGGCCTGCCAATGGAAGACGAAACATGAATAGAAGGTGCTGGTCGTGAAGACTCTGAAAGCAAATTATTCCCCTCTTCCTGAATCTCACCGTGCATCTTCCCTTGCATGAAGGAGCTTCCGACCTCGGGACTAGCTGCCATAGTATCCATTTTAAAAAAATGATTTTCACTCATTGCTATCTTAAAGTAACGAGAAATCTAATGTTACAGCATCATAAAAACATAATTTGTTCCTCTTTGAGTATGAAAAAGTCCTCACAGGCAATTTTAATCTCTACAGGGGTCTCTTGGACTTGTTCAACAGGAGTTCGTTGATTTCCAACTTCACGTCTAATTGTACCAACAGGGAGTCGTGAATCCTGTGAAGGCATAAGAATAGGATCCGAAGCCGACAAGTACACCCCGGGCAAAGGTGATGGTGCCTTAGAAGCTGAAATGTTTCTGGAACTCCCATCTCCCAAAGCAGAAGTCGGGATTTTTTTGGCCTCCGGAGGGACTTGTGGAAGTGGGCCCTCCAACTTACTACTCACAGTAGTTGCATTCACTTCAGATTGATTAATATCACTTACGGCAGACAAATGAACATCAGGTACAGAACTAGTTTTCTCAGCAACTATGTCAGATGAACGATCAGCGACAATATTGGAAGAACTGCAAAATGGTGTGAACATGTACTTTATGAGTTTTTAATTTTAACCCTGCTTTTGTATCTACATCGATTAAAAGGTTACTCTGTAAATCAACAAAGAGGGAAAACTAGTGATGTAACACCTTGCAACCACAGATGTCTCTTTATTCTTCTTATCCTGAGGTGCAGGCAGGACTACACCATCATCTGCACCTTGATTGATTTCATTTTCCTTTCCAGAGAGAGCATTCCTGCTACCGCCTGCATCTAAATTTTTGAAAACAAAAGATCGTTGATTATTATTTATGCATGACAACTAGCATACTTCAATGATCCAACTAGAACTGTTCAAATCCTAAATCTATAGTACATCATTAAAAGCTTGATATGAAATTAATCCTTGATTTCAAAAAAAGAAAGGCCAATTTATTGAATAAACTACTGGCAGTAAATAAAACCTTGTATCATGTGCTTCTGACCTTGTGATAACATTATAAGGGGCAGTTGTTTTAAGGTTTGATTAAAAAATGACGACTGTTTTGCAATATGACAAGTGAAGCAAGTTAATTTGTCCATGAATACTCTGCAGCATAAATGTGACGGATTCCAACTTGTCAATTACCATGAGGAATGTGGCGAGATGAGTAGTTGGCCCGACCACCCCTGTTTCCCCGTCCCTGCATCCCAGGTTTCCATCTAGGCTCTATAGATTCTTTAGTAGGATTCTGCAGAAAAGATAACAAGTTGACTGCATAAATATGAAGCATAAAACAGTTTTTTTCAGCTACAAATATGTAAAGCATATCCTAATATTGTGGGAAGACAAAAGTTAAATAAAGCATGCTATGCAAAAAAAAAACCATCATCCAATGTAACTGTGCCTTCATTTAAGAGGCAAAAGCAAAATCTTTGATGTAAGCAATGATTTTTAGCCAGCACAGCAGCGCTAACATACTCTGGTAAAAGGTAAGCAGCAAACACGAATAATAGGGTTGCTATCAAGAAAAAGTAGCAATGCTTATTCTCCAGCTTGACCAGCAATCATGTAACTATCAGGAGCCCCTTAAATTTATAAATAAATAAAAGATGGTTCTACAGTTTCCATAGCAATTTACCATACTGTAGCTGAATTCATCTCTTATTCTGACTTTATGGCCCGTCTATACATACGCTAAGCGAGAAAAGTAGACCCAGTTAAGTAGCAATTATTCAGAATGAAAAGAAAGAAAAACAGAAAAGCACAGTGCATGGTAAGTATGTCTAATGACCAGATGTCAGTGCAGAATCTCAATGCACCTCCATATGTAAAGTTAGTGCAGGCATTCTCACTTCTAAGCTTACTCACAGCACCGAGAAGTAAACGTACCTCTTTCTTGCGGTAGCGCTTGCTCCTTACTTCATGAAATGGATCTGTGCAACAGTGAAGTAAAGAATTTTATTTGGTTGCATATTCAACACGTAATTATAACAAGGAAGGCAAGGGGGAGACATGTTCAAATTAAATACAGATGACTGAGCTAGAAAACAAGCCTCTCTTTAAGTATAACCTGTGATTATGAAACATTCATTGTTCAAATAGATATACAAATTAAGGGGTCGTCTACCAACACAAATTGGGAAAGAGCTAACCGAGTAAGAACGCAGCCGGTTAAGCCCCTCTTACTGACTAAAGCATCGACTGAGTCAAAAGCAACCCCTTCCTTCTGGGTCAGCATATTTGTTGGTCAGGGTATGTTGGTAAATAGCATCCCTTCCTACCGGGTAAGCACCTCTTACACCTCTTACCCGGTATAAGGCGGTAACCAGGTCGTAAACAACCCCTAAAGTACACATAGAAAACACAAACTCCCTGCTTGCCTATACCAGTTCCACCCTTCCCAAAGAAACGTTAAAATAGCACACATGGATTTCTAGCATAAAAAATAACTGTCTGTGCATCTAAATATTGAGTGAACCCTAACATAAACAGATACTTCCCAAAATAAAAGCTTGCTGCAAGCCAAATCCGGATGACGTTAAACTAAAAACCAAAAAAAAAACATATAAATTTGGTCCCAGTTTGATTTGAGCAAGACCCAGAGAAAGTTTCCCACTATCGAGTAATCAAAATTCAAATTCGTATAAAAAATAAGTCATACCAAATCCTATTTAATTAGACACTGCAACAAGAAGAGCATAATCGGCCAACCTAACATGTAGAGACTACCACAATATGGCCAGAAACATCACTGCTACAATTGAGAAATTTGGCTAAATGCAACATCCGTAGGATAGCAAACAGTGAGCTTGACTTCACAAACTACATTCAATGGCGAATATCATTCTAACGAGTAAGGATCAAAACAATTAAACACCAATTCAGCAATAGGACCAAATTTTTGAAAAAAAAAAACAAAACAAAACTTCAAAAACCACTATAACCCTAACGTTAAGCACACTATCAGTCAGAAAACAAACAAAAACAAAAATCTCGCATCAATCACACGGAATACACAATCAATCAACAACACTTAAAAAAACCAAATCCATGAAAATGACAAACATGTAAAAGTCCCAAAACCAAACCACCAGCACGGATCTCACGGCAAAAAAATCAAAAAGACCAATGATTACCCTGCAATAGAAGCTTCTGGGCCGTCTCGTTTGGATCCATAGAACAATCTTTAAGCATTGCATATATCTCATCTTCACTGTGATTACCCGTGATCTCCTTAATGTTCTGGATCGTCTTTCTTACGTTGTTTGGAATGGAAACCCTAACCCCACTATTCATCTTTTCTCTTTAAACACGAACAGTAACAATTGGTCTTCAATTTATAAATAGATATATATATAAATAGCTTAGGTAAAGATTAGGGAGATAGAATGAGTGAACAGATGATGATTTGATTGAATGCTTAACCAGCAATCAGAAGAAATGAGGGGAGGAAGAAGATGAAGAAGAAGGGAAATAGAAAGAGAAAGACTTTGGTAAGGGTTTTTGAATTGATCCAGTTTTGTGTTTAGAGAGAGAAAATATGGAAGGGGGAGAAGAGCAAAAGAGGAAGTGTCTTCTGCAGTGTAGGGCTTTTTCCTTTCTTTTTCTTCAATTTTTTATAATTAAATTATAAATTATGAAATTATTATTTTTTGTAATTTGTCATTTTTGGTCCTTTTGGTTTTATTTTTTTCATACAAGTCCTTTGTTTTAAAGAGAGGTCGTTAAAGGTTAAGATGCTGTTTAGATATGTTATGAATTTCATTCGGTTTTACTGTGTTCGGTAAATACGGTTTTGGTTTTTATTTTATGATCTTCTTCATATATAATACAATTTTAGATCTTCACAATTTTTGGGTAAACGTCAGTGATGGACTTGTGACGGTTCGAGCAGGGGTTTGTGCACCCGCTCAACTGATGTTCGCAGGTAGAAGTTTTTTGGGGTATGAAAGTTTCATTTGCTAAATTTCGAGAGGTGCTTTGGGATATTATAAAATACAAGAAACAACAATTAAAAACAGATGAAAAAATCTCTCAAGATCAACAAAAAAAACTTAAAAAATCATCTGAAACAGGTGGAATTTAGTCAAAAACAAATTGGGCGACTTGGTGAGCTTTTGATCCACCTTAAAGGTGCATTTACTCACGGAATCCTGAGTCCGACACGGGTAAATGTTGACATGTCTAACTATTTGTAATTCTAATCGTATTATTGCAGTTGATTACGTGATTATTGTTTTTTAGTGTCACGGCAATGAATGTAAATCACACGCAAAACACCCAATAAGTTACAAAAGTCGCCGTCTTCAAGATATTGATCCATGAGACGTTAGCTTTGATTTTGTAGAAGGGCATTTCAAACATAAACCAAAAACCGAAACAATGTTATGCTCTTTCTCAATTCAGGTATTTCCACGTTGTTATGAATCGGTTTCCTTTGCGAGCTCGTTTGAAATAATCTGTTTAATGCTTTCTCGTCAAGTATTGTTAAGTAAAGACAACCGTGGGTGTTTTTGTCTGTTTCAGTATTTAGTCCCAGTGACAACAGCAAAAAAACATCATGTGGAAGGACCCATAATACACGGAAAATGGTCTGCTTATAACGTGATAATAGAGTTTGAAAACCACCAAAAATGTAACATGCTTTTTATATTGTGGTATTAACGTACTATGTCTTTTTATAATCCATGAAATTTAGGCAAAATGCCTCGTCATAAAGTCTCCCCCTTATCTTTGGTGAGAACCATGAGAACCCGCTCATTGCCCTCAAATGAGATATGTTTATATTGATCCAGCGCCTTAAAAAAGACATACAGGTAGAACGGTAAATAAGTGGAATTTCAATGGCATTTATGTGGGATGGCACAAAGCTTAACGTACCTTAATATGAAAACTTTAACACACCTTAACATGAACATTAACTGACCTTATCAAATCTGAATGAACATGAATATAGCTTAACAAACCTCACGTACTTTAAGCATGCCTAAACACGAAAGCCTTAACATGCATCATCATGGCTTACCATGGAAACAACGAATATCTACATACCTTACCTTGAATCAACTAACCTTAACATTCCTTAACATACTTCACATACGTTAACACGAAAACTACAATGTTAAGGTGTGCTGATGCAGAAACCCGAAAGACACTTGGTTCACTAGATGGACACACATTTGTGCTGTTGAATGGAGCGCAAAAGGATCAATCGAGGGGCGTTAAGCCGTTCTCATGGAAGACGATGGAACCCATCTCTCTCTCTCTCTCTATATATATATATGTATATATATATGTATATATATATATGTATATATATATGTATATATATATGTATATATATATATGTATATATATATGTATAT